TCTATTAATTAATCAAATAATAAGTTAAGTTACATGGATCATGGTTTATAAATCTTTAATGGGTCCTTATGAAAAACGAAACATCCAGAAATGAGTAAAATAAGTTATTTGTCAAAAGTTGTCTAAATTATAAGTATAAAAAATATACAAAATGTTACATTTTTTAGTTAAAACAAAAAGAATTATTGTGTTAATCTTTTATGCTTATAATATTTTAAGGAATTACTTATCAATAAAAAATTAAAAAGAAAAGGACAAACCTGTGTTTAAGGATAAACCAACCTAAACTCACACATTTTGACTCTTTTGCAATCCAATTTGACTCACACTCAACCTTTATACATTTTTGGTAAAATTAAGCTAATTCCTTGTAATTTACTCTTTGCATAAAAATAATTTATTTTAGGTAAAATTGCAAATATAACCAAATTCATTAATTACTTTGTGGAAAATAGCCAAAAAAAAACCCAAATTACAAATATAGTCATGAAAATCGCAGATGGATTAAGCCCATCTGCGATTTTAACATTCCATCTGCGAACGTACAAGTCGCTAAAGCATAGTCATGCTCTAGCGACTTGTACGTTCGCATGTGTTTTTTTTTCCGTATAAATACCCCAATCTTAGCCTGAAATCGCAGAGAACTAAGTTCATCTGCGATTTCCTCTCATCCCACCTGCAATTTTGCAAAAAATTATCAATTTAGTTCTTATTTCTTTGGAATATTTGTTTAAAACATCTTTAATAAAATAAATTTTCCAACAAAAACTTTGAAAAATATTTGAAAAATGAAATTGTTCATAGTGCCTCTATAGAGAGAGAGAGAGTTCTCCAAAAAAAAGTTTGAAAAATGCAAGAAGAAAAAAAATTACGTTTTTATACCCCTGAATAAGGGGAAATCACAAATAGACGCAAAATCACAGATGGACTGAGTCCATCTGCAAACGTACAAGTCGCTAAAGCACAGATGGACTGAGTCCATCTGCGATTTTAATGGCTATTTTTGTAATTTGGATTTTTTTTTGCTATTTTCCACAAAGTAATTAAGAAATTTGGTTATATTTGCAATTTTCTCTTTATTTTATCTTATGAACTAATTTATAAGTTAATTTTTGATAAGAGAAATTAAATATCATTATCATATTTTTCGTACTCATCTTGACATCTTCTTACCCATTAAATTATGATAAATAAAATATTATTAATTTCATTAAATATAACACCTGTCAATATTTAACACGGATATAAGGATGAGTATGGAGGAAATATAGGAAAATGTTTAATTTCTCTTTTTTTAAACTACTTTGAGATTCTAACGGTGGATAACCCAGAAGATCATCCAAGGTCCATGTCTTTAAGGAACCTAAAGTTTTTAGGATATATATATATATATATATATATATATATATATATATATATAATTTATTTTTATGTCTATTAGGAGCCCAAGTAAACCCAACTTCAAATTAGCTCAAGAAAAAAAAAGACTTAATGGATCGATTAGAATTTATGAAGTCACAATGGATAATATAACGCGCCTTTCACAAATGCACATCCATAGAGGCGGGAGCATCGAATCACGTCCTCAATTTGTGAATCGAGGTCCTCTTTTACTGGTTAACCCCGTAAATCAACATCACCTAGAAGATTTCTCCCATCTGCTCATTTTGATTCTGATCTTGTCTTCTTCATCCCCTAGATCTACTTCTCTCTCTCCATCTCTTTTTCATTAACTCTTAGGCTAGCAGGTGTGGACTCGGCTACGAACTCGGTGACCTCGGCGAACACCGGGCTGAGGCCTTGGCATGCCGAGCTTAGCTCGGAAACTCGGCGATGGTTCACCGATGAGAGAGATTGTTGATTTTTTTTTTCTTTTAACCCATTTATTACTTAAACCTCTTTTTTTTAATTACCTTCTTTCCAAAAAAACACCCAATTTCAAAAATATAACCGTTTTTTTTTTTCAAAATTTCAAATTTTAAACCCTCAATCTTCAACTATAAATACATTCATCCTTATTCACTCTTCACCCCCATTCAAATCTCCTTAATTCTATTCTCTTAACTTTCTTATTTTTCCATCATTTTCTACACCTCATCCCTAAAAATGGTTATTTACTGACGAATAGATCTTACTCGCTCGTTCATGGATTGATGTAGTAGAAGATCCACACCACAATGACTACCCTTCGACTACTTTTGGAGTAGAGTCGCCGACATATACAACCGCCAAGCCCTTCAACCTCGAAGAAAAGATCTACTCTGCGCCAAATGGAGAAACGCACACGCAATCGCAACTCGGTTTACCATTGTGTTTCATAAGGTGATGCATGATGTCGGAAATGGTGAAATCGAAAATATTTTGCTAAATAATGCTCTTGAGGCTTACCGTATTGAAACTGACAAAGATTTCAAGTTTATTGAGTTTTGGCAAATTGTGAGGCAGAGCCCCAAATGACGTCAAATTTGAAGTCTTTGTCTTCTAATTTTTAGTGGGTTGTGTATTTGAATTTCTAGTGTGATGTTTCTGAATTTCTAGTGGTCTTGTGATATTTTTAATTTCAATGTTTTTTTTTTTTGAATTTCAATGTTTTTTTTAATCTATATGTTTTTTTAATGGAATTTAAGTTTTAAAAAAATAATATGTTTGCAATATTTATTTTCTAAATTAATTAAAGAAAATATGTATTTAGCATGGCCAGTGTGGCAACCCACGTCATGCAAATGACAAGTTTTGGCTAAAGTGTGACAAAAATGACGTGACGTCTACGTGAACTGTGACAAGTGTGGCATCACACCCACTAGTCTTATTCATCATAAAGACGACGTCCAAACTTTCTGAATTCCGACTTCATCTACAAGATATAACCACCCTTAATCTCGCCTTCATCTGATTCGGTTGATCAGTTCCATTGAATCTCGTCGATTAGTTTCTGACAGAGGCGTCACAACCCTCAATGAAGCAGTCATGGAAGAAGAGGCGTAGAGCTTTGCCGAAGATTCTGAATGAGGCGATCTGCTTGTTGGTGGTGGCGTCCTGAATTGATTAGTTTCTCATTATCACTCTTGAATTCTGACTTTTTGTTTTTGGTTTTTTTTTTGTTGTTTCCCATTCTAATTTCTGGATTCATTAGTTTCTTGATTTCTCAATCCATTAGGTTTTGATTTTGTTTCTTCCTCGATATCATTTTTTTTATGATAAAAGCATTTGTATAATAGAAGTTTATGTTTTAAATTTTCTGAATTTTGTTTGTGATTTAATTCTTGTTGAGTTTCATCTTTAAATATATCATATTTCTGACTTGATAAGGTAAAATGTTAAGCATAATTGTTTGTTATAATATATATTTTTTTTTTATCTGATTTGGGAATTTGATTCATACTTTTTTTTGCAGCGTGCTTGTTATTCAGTTTCCATAAATTTGATACAAAAAAAAAAATCATGTCTATTCTTTCCTTAAAAGTAGCTTTTAATTATTTACAATCAATACAATGTTTCCTAAAAAACATTTATTTGAGAGCCAAAAAAAGGAATAAACAACAAATTCTTCATGCTTCTATAAAATTTCAAAAAGCATATATCGATAAGTTTTTTAAACCATTCATTTCTTCTGATTTATATGAACATGATAATAAATTGATAATTTAAATGAAGAAGATATTGATTTGAATTAACATATAACATCTAATTAACTATGGAGATAGAAGTTTTTCAACCTAAAGTTACTGTAGAAAATTATCTAAGGTCCTCAATATCACAATAAAAGTTGAATGACTTGACAATATTATGTATATAAAATATGTTAGGTAAAATTGATTTTAATGCTATTATTAATGATTTTGCATATACAAAAACTAAGAGAAATATTTTTCTTTTAACTTATTTTTGTGAATATTGTGGCTCTATTTGTGTTTTTTTATAATACTATTATTTATGATTTTTGTAATTGGTATGTTTAGTTTCGAATCTTTATCATGTTAATGACTTTAGGGGGCCTTTTTTTTTCTTTTTATCTCGGACTCAAAATATATTTGGACTCAAAATATATTTGGACCGACCCTGATTTTTGACAACCTACAAAGCTTTTTCAAAAATATTTAAAATATACTTTTAATTGTTCGTTTAACTGTATGTTTCAATGTCCATATATGTCATTTTACGTTTGCAATGGAACTTATAAACTATTTTTTTTTAACAAACATTATTAGTTCATAAAGTAGCTTATCAGCTGCCAAATATTTTTCTAGTAAAAACGTTTTAGTCCGACAAACCGGCCTAGACTACTGTATGAGTTTATATAAAGCAAGGTTTAGAAATTTAACTCTTTTGACTAACTTCTGTTAACTCTTAAAAGTTATAACATCCCCTACGACGACGCGAACATGGAGCCGATGCTTTTGGGCAAAGCCGGGTGTCACGGCCCTTTTCGTCGGCGATGTACACCAACCTTTTTTAGGTGTAGCTGCAGTGACTATGTTATACTACGCACATTCAAACCAAAACTTTGAGCCTATAATGTTCTCTTCTTCATGTCTCTTTTCAACTCAAAGCATACAAAGAAAATTACTAAAAACAGAGTAGAAATTTACTGACTTGGATCAGAGCTCGTCGTAATCGCAGTGCCACCAAAATTGCAGCTACTTGGGACAGGATTCTTCTGATAATAACTATTGAACGCGTAAGAAGCATGGTGGCGCAGGGTGTCAGGATTGTAACACTCACCACCCTGCTGAATCGCCGAGCAGTCAGCGCCACCGTGACCACAAGCGTAATCCAAAGCCTCTTGTAATGCCGTTCGTGAAGCAGATTGGGTTGCAACGCACCAGCTTCGGCCTGCAGATGAAGTTGATGATACTGGGGAGGTTGTCGTTTTGGGTTGCGTAGTTGGGTTTGGGTTTCCGGTAGTTATGGTCGGAACTGTTGTTATAGGTGTAGTGACGTCCATAATCTTTCCGGTGAGTGAACTTGAAGTGACTGTGATTGTGAGGTGGATGACGACGAGAGAAACAAGGATCATTGTGGGTGTTTTGTAGGTGGTGATTGATGAATGATGTGGGTTCATTGGCTGTTTCAGAAGGTGTTGAGTTTGGAAAAAGGAGAAAAGCATCATCATTACGTCTTTGAAAATGTGAGGTGGAAAAGGAAAAGAATTGGGGCGTGGGGGGGAAAAGAGACTGAGGTGGATGAAGGAGAAAGAAAGTGAAATTAATGATGATGGTCAATCAATCTACTTTAATCCTTTATTTACTTGTTTCTTTCTTTTCTAATCATGCCATAATATATAATAGTCCATGCTTTTAAAAAAATAATGATCTACTAGTCTTACTTTTTTTTTTCAATAGTGGATATGTTTGAACTTTGAACACATATGTTCATGTATTTTGCGATGGACGCCATCCATTGCAAAGATAGCCGATAACAACACACGTATTTAAGAAACATAGAAGAAATTCTTAACGGATTAGTTTGACACTAATAGTGACATTTACCGTATTTCGTATAAGTAAAAACTCATATACATATACCATTAGAAAAGAATTTGGAGATTGTTATTTTATATTTATTATAACAATATATAAAACAAATAAAAATTACACAATATAGATGAAAATTTAGACATCATATAAAAGTGCAAAATGGTAAACAATAAAAATAGGGAAAATGACTCATGAGGATAACAAATTATGGCTTTTATTCATATTTGGTCATTTTTTTTACACCATTTACCATTAAACTTGTTGTAGGTGTTAAAAAATATCATTATTACCGGGTGTTGAAGGTTTCTGGCGAGTATGTCATTCCAGTTGTCTTCTCCGACGAGTTTTCGGCCACCATGAGTTTTCTGACTATTTTCCGGCCAAATGTAAATGAAGATCCGAGTTTGTTTCTTTCAGAGGTTTAGATGTACTCATAAGGTTCATATAAAGATCTCAGTTTGTTTCAGAGGTTCAAATGAAGATCTGGGTTTGTCTCTTTCAAAGGTTTAGATGTACTCAACCCAAAACGAACTTTGATGAACTCAAATAGATAAGATAATAAATCTGATGAGCTAAAAGAAGACCAGAAATCTGATGTACTCATATTCATCTGTGAACGAGTTTCACAAAAGTTTTGGTTTGAACACAAATCTTCAAAGAACTAAACGATTTTGGGAACAATTTATGAGTCTATTCTTTAAAACCCATCTCAAGACACACATACACACACTAAATCAAAAAATCAAAGCTGGAATACGACCAAACGAAAACGAGCATGAATATGAAAAACAAACCAATAACTTGTTCTTGTGTTCATCGTGTGTATAGAACCCAAAAAAATCCCTAAATCGATGTGTTTAGATCTGAAAGGAAGCTCGATTTTCTACTTCCAATGCTCGATTTTTCTTCTTCTATGTTTTTCAGATCTACAAATTGATAAAATGCATGAATGAAACAAATGGTTTATGTTGGTTGTTGCTCGACTGGAAAAGGGGTTTAGGGTTGTATCAGGTGGTGTTTTGGAAGATGATGAACATGGGAACATATATGGGTTTATCAGATCGGACACACACACATGCTTGTGTTTTTTAACAGATATGGGTCAATTTTCCAGATATACAAAAAGAGAATTGAGGTCGATCTAATGTTGGAATGAAGTCATTAATAGTGTTCATAGCTTCCCTGGAAAATTTATATTTTCGCCGAAAAATTCATATAGTCACCAAAAAATTCATATATTGGCCAGAAAATTCAACTTGACCTGCTAAACCTATAATAACTTCTCATAATGTTTTGTAAACATAAAAAACATGTTCAATGGTAAATAGTATACAAAAAAAAAGTGATCAAAATATGAAAAAAACGATAAATTATTACCCTCCTGAGTTATTTTCCCTAAAAAGTACTATTGCAATAGGATGGAAGGAGTGATTCAACATCAGTTTTTTTTTTTTTTTTTTTTCCAACGATACATGAAAATGATAATTTTTCCAAACCATTTGGTACATCATTATTTTTAATTTAATTAAATTAAAAGATATAAAAAGAAAATAAAACATAACATTATTTATTTAATTAAATTAAAAAATATAAAATAAAATAAAACATAACATTTTTTATTTTTTTATTCCCTAAAAATAACATTTAACATTAATTAAATCCTAAAACGACAAACGAAATAACTAAAAAACCATACTACAAACGACAAACAACAAATTAACAAAAATACTTAAATTCTAAAAAAAAAAAGATAATGATTTTTTTAAAATATTTCACGCCACATCGTATAAAAAATCTTTCACGTTATAGTGTTTGCGATACTCACATTTGTTGCGCTTAAAACTTCTCCGTTCAAAATTTTTAGTTACCGGGTGTTCACCTTGTGAGTGAGAACATCATTAAACTCTTTTACTTTTTGATGCATACATTTCCATTTGGAAGCAAGTTGATGTGTTGAACGATCCGACTCTCCAAATTGTTGCTTCAAATGATCCAAAACTAATCGTAAAAAATATAACGATTAATGTTGAGTAATCTGCCTATTTTCGAAAGTGTCAATGATGTATGTTCTAGCCAACGTCACCTCTTTGATTTCGGACCATTTTGCGAATATAAGTGGTCTATGAATGATATCTATTTTCAAATTTTAAATTGAAATGTAGAGAAAATTGAGTAAAATGGAATGAAATTGAACGAAAGAAATGTATGGTTTTGTAACGGTAGAAGGTATTTATAATAGGAAATTTTATTAAAAAAAATAAAACATTCAAAATTTCTAACTTTGGAAGATTCACGGGTTCATCAACCCGCATACAACCATCGGAGCGGTACCAATTTTGTCTCAGAGTAGTGACATGTAACACCCAGAAAATTCATGAAAAATTTAAATTTTTAAAATCAATCCACAATCATCATTGTTTACAAAAATGTTAAATATCAGGGTTTTCCCAAAATCATAAATCAAAACACGAGGAGGTGCACGATCACGCCTTCGCCTTCCCGCGATTATCTAAAGTACCTAAAACATAACCCAAAACTGTAAGCTCAAAGTTTAGTGAGTTCCCCCCAAATACCAACACAACAAATAACACATATACAATAACAGCATGCAATGAGTCCACAACTAACAGACTAGATTACCCCTAAGCCCACAACATAAGTCTGGCTTGCCCCTTTAGCCCACAGCTTATGTCTAGCTTGCTCCCTGACCAGATCAGTCCCTGGACTGAATACCACTAAGCCCTCAATACGAGTCTGGCATGCCCTTCTCGGCCCTCAGCTCATATCCGGAATGCTCATGAGCCCTCAGTATGAGTCTGACATGCTCTCCCCGGCCCTCAGCTCATATCTGGATTGCTCCAGGGTTTGTTGGCTACCACACAAAGCAGTACAACCTCAACCCAACCCACACAATATGTCAACATATAACAGATAATATCATATACAGATAAACAGACAATATTATATGTAGTCATACAGGTCTACCAGACTAGCATATCAAAACTAACATGCTTATTTATTCCATACTCTACATATCAACAATATCAGGTTATCAAACCAATGGGTCGGCCTTGGTGCCTTCGACCCGCAAGTACAATGAGGAAAACTCACCTCGCAAACTGAGTAGAACTGATGAGGCCTGACTCCGAATCTCAGCTCTCTACACGATACCTAAATCCATCAAATGTTCAAATTCCATCAGAATTCCAAAATACTTCAAATACCCTCAAGGTCAAACTTGGTCAAAGTCAAATTCAACGATCAAGGTCAACAATCAATGTTGACCCAACACGCCGTGTTTACTAGAAAACACACTGTGTTTCGATAGCATCCAGACGATCGGGAAAACTCCAGCCAACATGTCGTGTTGGCTTGCAAATACGTCATGTTTTCCCGATTTCCAGCAACTTAAAACATTTAGCTGTTTTCTTCGATTCCAGGGACTCCATGTAACGCCTAGTTCCTGGTACGCATTTAAATAATTAATTTATTCATTTTATGTAGGAACTCGAAGAGTTGGAGGCCCCAAACTCATCGAGTAGGGATTGGATTTGGACGCGGGTTTTGAAGTTTACTCGACGAGTTGGAGGCCTCAACTCGACAAGTAGGGCCGCCAGAATGAAACCCTAATTTTGGGGTTTTGCACCCTATTTAAGCATCTTAATCCCCTTATTCCAGCCCCACTTACAGCCTCCAAGTCCCAAACCCTAGATTCAGAAACCCTAATACTTTGTGTGATTTTTGAGCCATTCTTGAGAGATTTTTGTGTGTGTGAAGCTTGTGGAAGAAGAAGAAGCTTGAGGATTCAAGAGGAGGCTAGTAGATCCAAAGACTCCATTTCATTCTCATCATTTTCTGGTAAGAAAGGCTCAAACTTGCTTAGTAACTTCTTAGATCTCTTTATTATCATTTTATGGGGTTTTTGGTCCAAGGAGCTTGATCTTTGGGTTATGGACGTCCCAAGGGAGTATATATCATCAGATCTGGAAGCATGGAGAGCTTTCATGGCATAAAGGTGCAAAATTTATGGCCATTGAATCCCCATGCAAGCTATAGGATGTCATTTTGGCCTTTTAAGCTCCAAAAGGCCATGCATGGAGAGAAAGGTGGAAGCTATACGTGTTCATATAGTGTTTAGGGTCTAGATCTCTGTTTGTATGCTTTAGTTTGGAGTATGGATGGCTTGTGGACCAAGATCTAGGTTCTAAAGAATTAGGGCTTTAGCTAGATTCTTCAAGTAAGGGTACTAAAGGGTAAAGTTGGAAAAGGACAATTTCAGTGTATAAGTGGAGTATAGGGCTTAGATCTGAACATTAGGGGCTTAATCTATTAAGATGGCTTAACACACTGAAGAACTCGTCAAGTCCATAGAGGAACTCGGCGAGTTGGGACGAAGTATCCCGATTCCGTTAAAGGCAAAAACTCGACGAGTTCAAGGATGACTCAACGAGTTGACTGTAGAAGTCTCGATTCTGTAGATAGGAGGAACTCGACGAGTTGTGAAAGAACTCGTCGAGTTGGATCGCGATTTCAGGGTTTATGATTTATGGAACTCGACGAGTTGATGGACCAACTCGGCGAGTTGTGTCAACCCAGGATGTTGACTTTGACTTTGACTTTGACCAAGGTTGACTCGTGAAGGGGTTTTGAGTGT